AGCAGGAAATAGAAGAGAACATATCAAAGTAAACCAGCTAGTTTATATTGTCTTGGGGAACAACAGGAAATACAGTAAGGTGAATAAAATTGCGTCAAAATCTTATACAAAGAGAAAGGAGATGGAGTAAAAAGGAAACAAACAAGTACTTACAGGCAAAGTTAAAAAGACAAAGGCAAAACCACATTTTATTTTGCAAGGGGTAAAGAAAACCCTAAAGAAAAGAGGTTCTTTGTATAGATCTCCAAAAACAGAGAGGAAGGAAGCTATAAAACCATTATTTAACTGGAAAGACAGTTAAAGCAACAATGAAGTATAAGACAACAGTAGATTTTAATAACCTTTGCAAGGGAAAAAAACCTCAGTTAATTATAGCAAATTATCTGACAAAGTGGGAAAAAATGGATGTTAATGGAAGTAAGGATTCCTTAAGAGCAATTAGATGTATTCCTACATTACACAACTACAGAATTAATTGTATTCAAGTCAGAAGGGGCTTTGCTTCAGAGTAGTTTAGGAACTCAGCAAAGCAAACTAAAGGGAGAGCAAGCAAGGTCCCAGAGGATGATAGAAGAGCAAACACAGCAGCAATTTAAAAGAGAGAGGAGAAGGAGAAAGCAAGAACTGAGTCAGTCAGAGAACACACATAGCAACTCTGATACTCATGGGTCCTAGAACTATAGAAAATTAAAGGCTACTCTGCATTTGTTAAGAACAACACCCAGCTTCCTTTTTGAGATCAGCAGATGACCTCCTCAACAAAGTCTTTGATGCTGACCCACATGACATTCTCAAAAGCAAAGATGGTGACCTGGTCTTAAATAAATTGTAGGAAGAATGAGAAAACAACATCCTGGTTGCAAAACTACCCTGAAGAATACCTGTTCAGCTAGGAGGGCATGTCAAGTACCATACAGGAAACAACAGCCAAGTTTCCTGCATGATCCAGTTTTCAGTAGGAATTTATGGAGTGACTTAAGAGCAACTCCACTTAAGAGTAACTCCATCACAGTAACATACATGTGGAGTGACAAAATCCAAGCCAAAATGTCAGTGCATTCAGGAAACAGGATTAAAAGTAATTTTGACGTAAAAGAGAGAAGGTCTAAACTCAGTTTAATTAAACTGAACAAGATAAAATACAGATGTTAAATACTACTATGAAGGAAAAAAGAACAGTTTTTCCCCATGACTCCTTCAGAAAAATTCTCAAAGATTTTCCACCTTAACTTACAACAAGTAAGAGATTCAATATGGATATCAGGTAAAAAACCCTGAAGAATAAATACTGGAGTAAAGAAAAATCCATGTTGATGGAACCTGTTTAAGAATAGGTTAGACCAGCACTTGCAAAGGATCATTGAGGTACCTGTGACCCTGCTGCAATTCACACCACTGGCAGAGCTGCAGGTAAATGCAGCCAACTCAGTCCTGGCAAGGGAGCAAACAAACCAAATAGGGCATGAGACTACTAAATGGGACGTGAGAGATTGCTGGACAGTGCCCATAACTGTGAGAGACACTGATGAGAGTTACAGGCAGTGCCGTGAAGGCTGACTCTGGACTTCCAGTGCGGTTAAGAGTTATGTGAGAAACAGGTGAACTCCAGAGGCAGATACAGGGCAGGACAGAGGAACTCCAGGGAGGGGAAGCACACAAAGCCAGCACATCAAGGTGACCACCAAGCACTGCTGAGCTTATTGGACTCTCAAATGTGGTTATGATTTAGCAAGACTGGAATCAACAACTAGGGGCAGGTAATTTAGGAGAAGATTGAGATGGAGAAAGGGAGGTATGAAGGTGGTATAATGGAAGGTGAAGGAGGAAAGGGGTAACAACCACAGGCAATTGATATCCACCAGGCAGCCCTGCTCTGCTCACCACCACAGCTTAAATGAGGGCAGAGAGCAAAGCCTGTTATTCTGAGTCCATCACACGAATCAAACCTGCTTTCTGCTATCAGGGGAAACAGGACTGAGAGGGAGGTTTGGTGCTTGCCCTGGCAAGCAGGAGAATCGCCAAGTAGTGGGACAGAGCATGGGAGCATCACCATGTTGGGCCTTGTCCATCCCAACCTTTTCCTACTGGTCTTGCAAAGTTCCCTTTCATCCCTGAACTTCCACAACACTTGTGTAATGCCAGAGGAGCAGAATCAAAGTCCCATGACTCCCCTCACTCTTAACCATGTAAAAATAATTTCCAGAATATTCTCAGGAACAAAGTGATCTATTTTGTGTCTGCCCTGGGGAATGTCACCAAGCTTACTATGCTATGGAAAAATGTAATTTGTTTTTGTACTGGCCACTCTGTAACGATTTTGGTGACACAATTGGATTAATGCCAATTTCCCTTTCCATAAGCAACTAAATCTCTTGACATTTGGGATATAATTTCAGCAGCCTTTGAAGGAGATGGGGGTAAAACCACGAAGTGCAAGATTGCAAAATCTAAATGAAATTATTAAATATCCACCAAATAAATACTCACCAGATGAATGACAACCAAAAAAGTACATTTATTGTAAACAATGACAGAAAGCTTTCCGGAATCTGGATTCACCCCAAACAATACTTTCAGAAAACCATAAGAAGTGTAAGTGATGAGTATTTAATTTCAGTTTATTTTTAAGTACATATTTATTTATTTTATAATATCGTTCTGAAAAAAATAATCCTTTTCTCAAATAGGCAAAAAATTAAAATGCGTGGCAACATCTGAAACACCCTTAGTTCTGTAATTTTTCATTGATTCCTTTAACTTTAGTTAATGAGACTGAAATTTTCCTTCAATCATGCACTGAAACTGAAGTGGGCAGTTAGAAATCTTCTGGTCATCTTCAAAATAGTGAGGGGAAAAATGCTCAATAGCAAGCATTCTCAATAAAGAAGACTGAATGCTTTTGAAAAAATCCTGCTGTATACTTTGCATCTTAATGGAAAGTCTTTGGATCCCTGACCTGATTCCAAACATCTGTGAATGCATCATGCCCTAATATTCTCCATGGGAGTATCCTTAGAGCTCATGCCACTGTTAAAACATCCACAGAGCAGTCTTAAAAAAAAAAAGAAAAAAGTCAGAGCAGCAGACATTGAAAATGATCTTTTCCAGTCACCACACAATCATTTTCTCAGAGACTTATGGCCACTGTTATATTGACTCACTCCAGAAATTATACAAAACATTTGCTGGACTGCAGATGCAATAAAAAGGCCACGTATCTGGTAACTTAGAGAATATATTCTGTTTCTATTTGGTATTAAATATTTGTCCCATAACATTTTATACTCCCTGTTTTTTCATCAAACTGTCACTGTTCTAAAAAATGCTGCATTTTATTCTTCTCCTACCAAGAAACTGATATTAAAGAGCTTTTAGTGTGATAACACCTTCTGTGTAAGCATGGACATCATACAAAAAAAATAGGTAATTCTGTTTCATGGCATTCAGGTTGAACAACTGAAGTGTTTTACTATGCAGACAGACACCATTGTGTTGGTAATCTATCCCTGCTGAAGATTTGTTGTTACAGCCACTAAAATGTGCCACATAATTCTGAAGTCCTGAAGTTGACATCCCTAAAAAGCCTGATATTAAAATAACGTGACAGTCCATAAAGTATTTTTCACTGTAAGACTTCCTGAAGACTTTCACTATTTATATTTATGCAAAATCATTAAATAAAATACAGCTATGGATGGCAAGAAAAAGCAGAGTAAAAACTATATTGCAGAACTATGAAAAACAAAAGAAGCATTGAAACATACTTGAGCAAATCCCTATAATTTGGCAAAACAACTCAAGACACTGAAGAATTGTCTCCACTGTGTAAAGATAGTACTCTTTAGGAATGTGTGAGGCACCACACTGACCCTAATTCAGACCTAAGTGTGGTTCCAGATCAGAACAACATACCAAAACATAACACAGCACACACAAGAAACCATGACTATCAGTGGGCTCAGGACTGTTGGAGAGAGAAACATTAAAAAAAAATTATTGTTCGTAAGTTCTTTTCTCACTTATCTACATACTCCTACACTGCAGGCACAGCTTCTGGCACAGAGAAACACAGAAGACAGATTAGCCTCAGCTTCCTGTCAGTGGTGCCAAATGGTCACTGATTTCCAGGAAGACAAAGATATAATCACATGACTAATACTGAGAAATGCAACTGCTATCAAGGCAGATCTGAGCACATTTCCTAGATGCAGTGTCTGACAGCACTCAGATGGAAACTGGGTACACAGCACCTGCTCTATGAATTCCTGCTCTGAAACAAAAGCTGGGCATGCAGCTGCTGAGGAGAGCCATGGTACTACCCAGAAAGACCCCCCCACCCCTTCTGGAAAATTTAGGAAATCTGGATAGCAAGGTGCATTGCAGAGCTCTCAGCCCAGTCTATGTGCAGACACGAGCTGTGCTATACTAATACCCCAAGCAATCACAGTTGACTGAATCAAGAAACTCACTCCTTCTACACAACAGAGCAACTACACGTTTGCAGCTCCAACCCTCCACCGGAAAATTCACCTACAAAGTAAAGGTTTCTAAGTCTGCTACTACATACAGGCAACAGATTGTATCCCAGCTCCACAGAGGCACTGAAGCTGGAGATAGAGAGATTCTGGATCCAAACTTGGCCAGCTGCCAAACCCTCGGTGTGCTGATGCAGCATTAACTCTTTCAGCTTCCTTTTGACTGTAAGTGGTAAATAACCTCATGGTGGTTTTCACCCCAGCCATAATTTTATCAGGGCACTACCATTTTAAATCACATAGTATTTATCCATCCCTACAATACGGATTTCTTCTTTGAAATGAGAACTGGTTGCTATCTGTAACTCCAGATTACAGAACCAGAGGCTGCACAATGAGAGTTCCCACCGTTTAGTCAGTGATATAAACATCTTGGTGGTTAACAAAGGAGTAGGCAACTTCAACTAACTTTGATTTTATTTTTTGCTAAATGCACAGATTTTTAAATCTTTTATTGCAACTCACCAAAATTTCTCTTTGTTCTTCAAGATTTTTTAAAAAGTTTGAAAACTCGTGAAGAGATGCATCTGTAATACAAAACCAGAAAAAAAAGGTTTAATCATGTTGGAGGACAGCAAAGCAAAATGCAGCCACTTATAACCGTTTCTTACCTACCTATGTATCTTTCATCATCGGTCTCTGCATCACCAATGAATTCAAATTTAAAGTCTCTCAGAGAATGGGCAAATTTTCTCTGGGCTGCTGAAAGGTCTGCAATGAGAAAAAGGACAGATTGAAGGTTAGGCCAGAAGGTCCCCTATGCCTAGAATAATCAACTTTTACAAGAAACTCTTAATATAGGTCTTTCTAATTACATTACAAGACATCAAGTGTTGTCTAACCCTCTGCTGATCACATCTGGGAATTTGCCTTTCTGTAAGGCTATATAGTAGAAAGCACAGGTGTGCAGTATTAGACCTAATCTTACACTTACCCATAATTTAGGGCACAGGCCATACAAACAGATCGGTAACTACAGAAGTTGTAGGCACCACAGTGTAAGTTGTGCCAGTTTTCTTACTCTGCTAATCTAAATTCACTAAAATCAGATTCATCAGCACAAATACACTCTTAGAATTTTCTATATGCTATACATAGTTAGCTCTGCTAGTGAAACACTTATACATAAACCAAATATAAATACGAAAAATAGGAAAGAATTGTTGCACTGGAACTAGAAAGTCTATAGAGTTAAACTATGCCAAAAGGTAACTAAGTTAAATGCACAGCATTAAAATTATTTTTATATAATAACTGCTTTGTAATAGCTCTGAAACATTTTCAGCGATCCAGTTTTTACCTATTAATGTTTGACAACTTGGAGTCAGAGACTGCATTCTTACATCCCTCAGGAAGGTGTCAGACTCCATATCCAGCCACAATATCATTACAAACTTGTACTAAAATTCATAAAGCTGTAAATAAACAGTGTACGCACACTTTTCTGTTGCACTGGCATGTGCAGGTTGGCAATGCCACAAGTTCTGGAAGGATGGAATCGCTCAGTGGAAAAAGAAAAAAAGGATGCGTATCCTGGTACACCTCTACCCGGTAGTAAAGGTTTTACTCGCATTTTTGTTGTCAGCCAAAGTTAAGGATGATTTAAAATATTTAGTTAATCTATAATCTTTTTCTTACCACATGCAGTTCTGAAGGGCTAAGAACTACTCTTTTGACAGAACAGCTCTTTATATTAACAGGCACTAAAAGATTACCAGCTTGAGCTTTTGTCACTGTTCTAGTTGGGGCAGGGGTGGGGGGAGGGAGTGTTGTTTTTTGGGGGCTTTTTTGAACCAAAAACAAACAAAAGACTCCCCACCTTTATTATAGGTCCTGCATCCAACACATTATGTATTTTACTATATGTCATAGATGAGTACAACTTTGACATACAATGCTGCACTGAAAGTTCTGTTCAACCACTTAAAGGGTTAAGTCACAAATACTGTACAAACAGCAAAACACTGTCTAAAATGAAAAAAACCACGTGTTTTCTGCTCCTTGTAATTTCTTTCACCCTTCTCCCACCAGTCCTTTCCTCAAGCTGTTGTGTAACAGCGCCGTTCCCTGTGATGCCGCGCTGCCAGGTACTTGCTTCCTTTTTGCAACTGCTCCTGAAGCCTGTGCGTGTACCCTTCACCACGTCATGCAGCAGGATGCTGCACAGGGTTGAAATAATACGGATAAGAAGGCTGAGGGGAAAAAGTAACGTAATTCCCATGTGAAAGGAAACAGGGCTGTTTTAATGCAAATGTCTTGTGGGCTAAACGGCTGCTCATAAAGCAGGCAGCAAAAGAAACAGGTTCTGTTGGATGTGAAAGGCTTAAATATGGAAAATAACATAAGGTTCTTACCCATCTAATGTTACACTTATTTGTGAGCCAGGTCACAGCACAAGGCTGAAGAGAGTTTATTTATGGGAGAATGGCTCCAACAACACACACACTCCCAAATTTATTTAATTTTCTTGAATACGATAATCCCCTACCAAAGCGCTGTCACATGAAAGCCAGCCCCACGCTGGAGGAAGGAAATGTTTATTATGTTTTCTCCCACTTGTGGTGGTGAAGTATTCAAATAATGTTGAGCAAGGTACGCGTTAAGAGCCCCATGCAGCACTACACACATATACTATCTCCTTTCCCCTTCACAGTAAACTTATAAGCCTTTTTAGAGTGCTGTGAAACCACCTCCTGCATGGCTCCGTATCCCTCCTCTCTATCAAAAACCATCCCTCTGGTCACAGTGACAGCAAACAGAACCTATGCCCACAACCAGACTCTTTCAGTGCAAAGACATCTTCTGTCAATCTGAGAAGGGGCTGAACAGAAACACTGAGCTTCTCACAGCATCAGAAACCCACACTCATGCATTTCTCTTTACTGAATCTGCTCAGGGATTGGAAATTGATGACCAAAGGGCTGTGTTTGGAAGCAGGAACCATTCAACACATCAAATCTAGATTTGCAGAGTTCCTTGTTAAAACTATAAGGCCATATTATGTTTTTGCAATGTCTCTCCAAAAATAATTTCTGAAATGTTTAAGAACCATTCCAGAAAATTTTGGAAACCATCAGTGGATGCAAGGAAGTTGGGGATTTGAGTCACAGAACAATGACCTTCTTGACCTGATGGGTCAAAAAAAGCTGCAGATACCTGGCTTTGAACCACCACCTAGAAGAAAACACAAGAAAATAGGAAGAGATTTTCTGAAAGATTTTAAGAACTTGGCACTTTCAACAAAGGTGAGAAGTCACTGGAGAAAAATAAAAGCCAATCACATGTTGTAAGATGTAACTGGGACGAAATACACCACCTGACTGGAGGAAGAACAGTTCAGTCATTTGGTCTAAAAGACTGTTGCAATAACCAGAGTCCTAACTGTTGCCAGAACAAGAGATCTTAAACCCTGCTTAGTCAGCAGGTGTTAACTACAAGATTGACTTTCCAACGTTTATGTATCATCCATCACTCTTGCATTATTTTAGCAAAACTTACATTTAAGAACACATTCTGTTTTCATTCCCTACACCAAAATAGCACTAGTCTAACACAAATCTAGCACCTTGCTAGGCAGAACTATCAGTGCCCAGCTAGTCACAGGAATGAAAGTCTGAACTGCTTTTGCTAAACTAAAAGAACAAAACTGAGTAGCAATTAGAGGTGGAGGAAAACTTTCTCAGAAGGTCAGAGCAAGACTTTTTTTCTGCTAAAGCACAGGAAAAATTACAAGCATGGTGGCTGGACACAAAAAAGATAAAATAGCCCTGTGCTGGATTTTCTTGTCACCTGACAAACCATAGCCAGAGTGAGACCATCTGCAGTTAAACCTCCCACTGTGAGACAAACAGCATGAAAGTGCTCCAGCTTTTACCCTGATAAATTCCACATATCCTACAGTACATATACAGAAGTTCACACAATTATAAGCATTTATAAAAGTCTATAAAAACAAACTAGGTGTTGATATCATCATAAGTACTATAGTCTCTTACTATTGTGTTACAATGTAAATGCTGAGCTTTGTTGCTTAAGGTGGAAATTTCACAAAGGTAACTTGGCTCTCTTCCATGCTGTGTCAGAAGATCTTTACTACAGAGAAACTATTTGGCTGGCACTGACAGATACATCCCAGTATTGTTCCACACCAGCATTAGAGTCTGCAAGACCAGGATGGTGTTATATAACAGACTGAAACATATATATGGATTTCAGTTATGTACATTAGATTAACACAGTACATGAGCACAATACTGTCAAACAGCATGACCAGTTATGCTGATTGTGTGAATTACTGACAAAGAATTTAAGGGGCCAGAAACTATTTTACTCTCTTTAATCTCTACATTCTACACAGTAACACTCAATAGAAAGATACAGAAAGCAGTAATAGGGTTGTTGCTCCTCAAAAGCTACTGTAATCATTGAAAGGGAGGAACAGGGCATTCAAGATCAAAGAGCATTTTAAATATCAACCAAACACTAACACTGCTGAATACAATGGAATCCTGGCAAACCCATAAGGCAGAGTCATTTAAAAGACTCACCTAAAACACTAAAAGAAACCAAGCATCTGCTAAATTTTTGTAGCAAAAGGCTGAAAACACATTTCCAAGGAGAGAAGGGAGGGACATAAAGACACCAGAGCTTTTAATTTTCTCTCTTTGTCATTGTTCCTATCAGTACATTGTACTTTTTTGATGTTTGGATGCAACTACTTAGAAACACAGTAGAAGAAAGATGAGCAGCTGCCTGCTCCCCCACGTTTCTCTGGATCACTTCAGAAACAAGAGCTCCTGTGAGTTTGTCCTGTGCCAGATGCACTGCCAGTGCCCCACACAAATACCTCTATATCTTTTTCCATTTGGATTTCAGAGAAAATACTTTTGTTCCTTATCTGAGTTGAACTGAGCCAACACAACACCATTAGTTGCTGGGTGGTGGCCAGGCCTGACTTATAGGACCAGACTCCAACCTCCTCCTTGAAGATTAATACTAACCTCAGTGCTAGCCACACAAACTAAGTCTTGCACAAAGCCAGATAATATTTCTTCCTAAGGCTATCCTAGATCACTTTTGGATGGTAGAGGAATTACCCACTTGTTAATATTTTTGTACAACAATATGCAGGTTTCTGCATCAAGCTTTGAAGAAGGACTGGAATTTCAGCGCTATTCCTCATCCCTTACTACAAAGCTCATTGACTCTAACAAAATCTCCAGGAATGACAGATTTCCAGCTGCTTTATTTAATATGAGTTGAAATTGCTCTGGTTTCATCAAACAACGTTCTCTCACAAAAGCTAAAGGGTTAAAAACCACTTAGATTTAACTACAAATTTCATCTTCAAGCTACTTTACTACATCAAGGCCTAATATTTTTACACTTCTCAACGTATTTCCCTCGCAGTAGGCCAAGATCAGGCAAGCTACATGCTGTCATGAAACAGGAAAGAACAAGCTGAGTGAGACTTGGCCTCTCCCCTCTTCTTCCTAGGCATCAATCTCCTTGCAAGAGCTAACAAAGCAGCTTCAGAGGAACAGAGCACTTAAAATAGTTTGTCCAAGAGCTGCAGTACAGACTTGTATGGCATTTTGTACAAAACACGCGCCATCTCAACACTTAGAAAGCAATTTCGTGTTCCTCTCCTGTGTCCCTTTCGTCAAGGTGGATAATGAATCTAATATAATCCGTAACACTGAAAACTGAAA